GAAAGAAAGTCCACGATTGGTTATAAACTCATTTACAAAACCAAACTTCATGCAGATGCCATTTTTGACAGATATAAGGTCCGTGTTGTAGCAAAAGGATACACACAACAAGAAGGCATTGATTATGTTGAAACCTTCTCCCATGTTGCTAAAATGGTTACTGTCAAGACAGTCTTTGCTCTTACAGCCAAGAAGGGATAGTTCTTACACCAATTGGATATTTCAAATGATTTCCTTAATGGAGACCTTACTGAAGAAATCTACATGGAATTACCTCCTAGATATGCTGAACATAAGGGGGACTTACCTGAGAATGCTGTTTTGAAACTCAAGAAATATATTTATGGTTTAAAACAAGCATCACGACAATGGTTTCTCAAATTCTCCTCAGCTCTTGTCACCTTGAGTATTGAGAAGATAAATGGAGATCATACCTTGTTCGTCTCTATGTCTGATCAGAAATTCATTCTCCTCCTTGTCTATGTGGACGATATAATCATCGCAAGTTCAAGTTCAGATATTGTTTCATTGTTGATCACTCAACTGCAAAAGAGCTTCAAAATTCGTGATTTAGGTCCACCAAAGTATTTCTTTGGATTGGAGATAGCTCGTTCTTCCAAAGGAATCTAGACTTGTCAACATAAATATGTTCTTGAGTTGCTTGAGGATGCAGAACTCATGGGTTGCAAACCGTCATCCATTCAATGGATCCGAGCATTAAACTTTCATCTGAAGATGGTGAATTACTTCTGGAAGCTGAACCATATCAAAGACTGATTGGCAAGCTTATGTACTTAACAATAACGCGTCCAGATATTTATTTTGCAGTCAATAAGCTTTGCCAATTCTCTTCAGCTCTGAGAAACCCACACTTACAGGCTGCACACAAAGTTTTATATTACCTAAAAGTAAGCATTGGTCAAGGTTTATTCTACCATGTTGACGATCGGTCACAGTGTCCTGACATTAGACGATCAGTTAGTGGTTTTTGTATCTTCATTAGTGAATCGTAGGTATCTTGGAAATCCAAAAAGCAGGAAGTAGTTTCTCTATCTTCTGCAGAGGCTGAATATATGGCCATGTCCTTTACTGCTAAAGAGATTGTTTGGCTGTCTCGGATGGTGAATGATCTTCTTGTCTCTCCTCCTCAGGTTCATGTATTATACTGAGATAGTACTGTAATTCTTCATATTGCTAAAAAACTTATCTTTCACGAAAGAACCAAACATATAGAGAAAGACTGTTATTCAGTTAAAGAAAAGTCTGTATAAGGGTTACTGAAGACGCTACATGTGAGAATAGAGAATCAGTTTGCTGATCTGTTTACTAAAGCTTTGTATCCGTCTCTGTTTCACAAATTCATGTTCAAGATGGATTTGTTTAACATCCTAACTTCATCTTAAAAGAGACTATTAGATAGTGTATATAATTCTTGTAATACATTGTATACAATATCATAAAGCAGTAAAAAACTAGTATATAAGTTTATTGTACAGTTACAGTTACAATTAACGAAAAATACATTCAGTTACAATCTTACTTCTATTATTATGTAGAAGACAAAACAGTTTTAAATCATGATCATTACTTTAGAGTGTGGTGTTGATGATTTTTTTGAAAGCGACTTTTATAATCTTTAAAAAGTTAGGAATTTGGTAATTAGACAGTTTTGGTTTTTTTTTAATGTGGTGGTAAAGAGTGTTATTGATACTAGTTAGTTTAAAAAAAATATTCTTGTCAATTTGATTCATTAGACGTTGATTTGCGCTTAGTTAATAAAAGATACTGCAATCGTTATTTTCTTGCATAGTACATTCCGAGATGTGAAAACGTTTGTAATATTAAAAATGAAATTACAATCATGTTTTTTCTAAAGATAACATATTCGCTTTAGCATATGTAAGGTTTATATAGTGTTTGTTTCTAGTAAGCCTTAATGTCTTAGTTAATGTTTGTTAGCCAACTCTTGATCAGTTAACCTTGAACAATCATGTGTCTCTTCTCATACAAACATTGTATATAAACCTTACAGTATAGGTCTAATTTTGTTTTTGAATATTATTTTATATTTAATTTGAATTGTTAAATGTATTGTTAAGAGTCTAAGACCAACATCCATTTTTCTTATGCGTGAGTTGTTAGCATTTATTTAGTTTCTTCTCATATTTAATTAAGCAGATTTTATATTCGTTTATCTTTGGGTGTGACTGGTAACCATAATAGGAACAACATGAATGGACAGGAAATAAATAAATAGGAATACAATTTTAGGAAGGAAGAGGAATAATAATTCCTTATCAAAATCAATAAGGAATGAAGTTGTTCTATAATTCTCTACTAGTCTAAATGGTAACATAAGGAGCGAAGGGGAATAACCAATTCCTACTTATTCCTTAAAAAAAACATCATTCATAAGGAAAATTTCATGCGTATGATTCCTTGTCATTCCTTGAATTCTAAGGAATTATAGAACAAAAATGTTCTTTATCAAAATTGATATGGAACCAAAGTAATAAATATTCATTTTCATTCCTTTTGTTTTGTTCCTACCTATTATTTTCCTAATCATTCCTATTCCTATTTTAATAGTCACCAGTTAGAGCCTACAACCAAAGGAATAAGGAGGAATGGGAAAAACAATCTATTCCTCATGAATGGTGAATTTTTTAAGGAATGTTAAGTAATGTAGTGTTCCTCTTCATTCCCTTGGTCACCATTCACACCATTTGTTTGTAACTTCTAAAAATCTAGTCAAGTTATGTACGTGGAACAGAAGGGTTATTAAATAGTTTGACATGTTGATTGGGTTTCTATAAATATCCATTCTAATCCTAGTGTAATTAGAAAAATCATACAAAGTGATTTGTAATTATCTTTTTTTTTTCAACTGTGATTTGTAATTATTATTTTTTTGTTTCTCAAGTGATTTGTAATTATGTAGCTTAGAAAATAAGCCTCTCAGAAACACTTGGACAACTATAAAAGCACTAAACTTAGAATTAGCATCTTATGAATAGCTGTGCGCCTGTGCATGTTTATATAGAAAACGTTACAGCTTGAAAGGCTTTAAACAAACAAAACAAACGTTACAGTTTTTGATTTGTTGTGACATTGATTTAAAAATTAAAGATGTACTCAATATCAAATGATACTGGAAAGAAAAGGCAGGTAAACTGTTTTTATATAGTAAGATAATGTTTACAAAATTGCAGACAGTCTGTATCCTTACAATTGTTTTTTTTTTAAGTAACATTACCATTAATAATATTCCTTATGTTTCATTATAAGTGTTATTTTAGAGTTGTGCATAAAATTTAAAAAAAAATAATTAATTTTGTATATTTTTTATATAAAAATATAATTATTGATACACCTAACCATATTTTAACTAATGGAAAAACAAATACATAATAAAATTAATAAATTTTACATTGAAAACTGAAAATGACATTTACACTTATTTGTAACAAAAAAATTCTCTACGACGAAACTTAATATGAAACAAAGGAAATAATAGTTAAATTTTGACTAATTATTCAATAATTTTATATGTTTCCCCAAAACTAAAGTGGACACATTACATTGACTTTAATTCAATGTAAGCATAAAAAAAAGAGAAGGAAAAAATCCACCGCATGACACACCAGACATTTTTTCGATTATATATACTAAAAATCTTATATACAATAATACATTTTCTATGCTCTTTAGCGTATCACATTAGCATTTTTATGAGTTTCATGTATATTTTTAAAAAAATTCACAACTTTAGTAAGATGATACTAAAAATAAAATATATTTTAACAAAGTGGTATAAAGTGTCTAATCAACTCTGAACCACGCAGCTATCATGTATTTTTGATTTTTTTTATTTGGATTATTATTATATGGACTTTTTGTTTATAATATTTTTATGTTTTTTTCTTTTAAGTTTATTATTTTAAAGATCAAAATAGTTGGATAAACCCTAAAGCTTAACAAGTTCAAACTCAAAAACATTTAAAAATGAAACAAAAAACGAACAACCCTCCCCCCCAAAAAGCGAGTTTCACGCGGTTGGCTATGCGGATGGCTTAAGGAGCCTTAAAACTGTCATATTATAATATAGCTTACCCAAAAATAATATGAAATAGATCCAAAAACGAACACCAAAAAAAAAAAAAGTGATTCCCAAGCGGCTGTCTATATGAATGGCTTAAGGAGGCTTGAATAATACAGATTATGAGCTCAAAAAATTAAATCATTGCACATATTTCCTGATATATATTTTCAAAAATTTGTATATGAAATAAGATAAAATAAACAACAAAGTTTAAGTATTTTTTGTTATTTATTAAATGAATATGTAATTTCTCTTACATTTTAATAGCTACTATAATTTTATTGAAAACATTCTTCACCATTGACTCCAAACTCCGACGAATGGATTCCCACAATTGATTACGTCGTAGATAAAAATGGCACATCATTTATGAACAAAACTCAAACTTACAAAAAAAACTACATATAAAAACCAATATAATGAAATCTAAATAACCAATATTAACTTAATTAAGGTTACTTTTAAATTGATAAATCGTTTAATACAAATATAAATACTATAAATATATAATTATATCAATTTTTGACTTACGATATAAAAACTATTTACAGAAAAAAAAATAGACACATTTTTTTACACACTAAAAACTATATTATAGTCTAACTATTCCTATAAACCTTATTTCACATATAAATAGCATTCAACATATTATATATACAATATTTTCATTTGACACTCTTGCTATATTCTTTCCATCTTATTATTAACTAGTGTCATTAGAAAAATACATTAAACCAAAAATCGAAAAAATACTGGCAAACGCAATGATCTCGACTCCATACTAACTAGTCATGACAATAATAAAGAAAATAAAATAAAATAAAAAAATCTTACAGTAAAGTACGGTCGGATAAATCGAAGTCTTGTAATAAATCCGACCAGATAAGCCGATATTATTGTCTTCGCTCCTTCTCTCTCAATTAGATTCTGTGCTTCTGCGATCAGCTAAGATCCGATCCGCGTCGAAAAACACGTTTCAACTGTGATCAGATCCGATTGAAGACAACAAATTCGGATTGGGGCCATGACTCGTCGATGCTCTCACTGCAATCACAACGGTCACAACTCTCGGACATGTCCCAATCGTGGGGTGAAGCTATTCGGTGTAAGACTCACCGAAGGTTCGATCCGGAAAAGTGCTAGTATGGGCAATCTTAGCCATTACACGGGCTCTGGATCGGGTGGGCATGGGTCGGGTTCTCCTGGTGATGTCCCTGACCATGTCGCTGGTGGTGGTGATGGTTACGCTTCTGAGGATTTCGTTGCTGGCTCTTCCTCTAGCCGCGAGAGAAAGAAAGGTATCCATCTCTCTGATTCAATATCCCGTTTTGATCCAATTAGTTTATTGAGCTTTTGGGGTTTTGTAGGAACTCCATGGACAGAGGAAGAACATAGGATGTTCTTGTTAGGTTTACAGAAGCTGGGCAAAGGTGATTGGAGAGGTATTTCAAGAAACTATGTGAATACGAGGACACCAACACAAGTTGCTAGTCATGCTCAGAAATATTTCATTAGACAATCTAATGTGTCTCGTCGCAAAAGACGTTCTAGTCTCTTTGATATGATTCCTGATGAGGTTAGTCCTTCTTTTTTTCCCTTACTCTGATTTGGTTGAGGAGGTTAGATAAAGCTATAGTGTGCTTGATTAAGTAAGTCTTATGCTGCTTGGCTTGCCTTCTAGCCTCTCTGCTCCAGTTTATTTATGTTTATGTAAACAAAGTGCATTTACCTTAAACATCACTGGAAATGAAACAGAGGGCTTATGTTAAATGTTAAATGTTAAATGTTAAATGTTAAATGGTGCTATAAGATACCATTTTGCAGCCTATTTGTTGATCAAGCATTTGTATAGGGATGTGGTTGGTCAAAAGCATAAGATCACATAACTTTAACTCTCAAGATGGGCTGCTCATAGGAACTTCATCTTGAAATGCAATCCTTTTTCTTCTTATTTTTATCCTTATATTGTAACTTATCCTTGCAGGGAGAAGATATACCGATGGATTTGCAAGAACAAGAAACAGAGAACACTCCCGTGGAAACATTAATGCAAAGTTCTGATTCTGTTCATCAGACACTTGCTTCTACTTCCCGTCAAGCACCATCAATCTTGGAGATCGATGAATGTGAATCCATGGACTCAACAAACTCAACCACCGGTGAACCAAGCTCCATCGCTGCTGCTGCTTCTTCTTCTTCGTCCATACTAGAAGAAACCACACAACCGCAACTACAATCATACCCGATACTATATCCAGCCTACTTCTCACCATATTACCCGTTTCCATACCCAATATGGCCTGCTGGTTATGTTCATGAACCAACCAAGAAAGAGGAAACTCATGAGATTCTTAGACCAACTGCAGTGCACTCAAAAGCTCCTATCAATGTCGACGAGCTTCTTGGTATGTCCAAACTTAGCCTTGGAGAGACAAAGAAGAATGGAGAATCTGATCAGTCTCTTTCGCTGAAGCTAGGTACGAGACAATCAGCGTTTCACCCGAATCCTAGCTCTGATAGTTCAGACATCACAAACGTGGTACATGCGGTGTAAGGATTTGTAGAAGTGGCTGTCTGAAAATAGTAATTTGCAGGCAGATGTCTCTGTCTCTGGTTTGGGGTTTACAGAATGGTTCTTTGGTTACAGTAAAATAAGATTTGCTTTGTTAGGTTGTTTAACTGAGTAGGGTCTTTTTGATAACTAGGGTGAAAAAAGAAAGAAAAAGAAGTGAAAAAGATTATGATTTTTTTCATAAACTTATTTTTCTATTTGTATGCTTTTATTTTTAACTTTAGGATTCTTTAATTCTCGTTTTGATGTGTACTAGTATTGTTGTTAGGAGCTGAAAATAGTTTGAATAAAAAGGATGGTTGTTAATCCTCTGATAAGACTAACCAAGTTGGAAATTGATTAAACCGGAAACATCATTGGTGGTACAACATTAGACTGAGTTAAATTAGCAGAAGAGTCTCCATTTTACAAATTCCTAAAGGTGTTGTCAAAAACTACTTTTAGCGGGCATGTCATTAAACCAGTAGTTTTTCCCCTAGAGCTGGATCGGCACGTGACAAGCTCTTCAAGGCACGAGGTGCTAATGCAGTACTACAAATGAGACTGGATGACACGTCCCTCGTCAGAGGACGAGGTTGCATGGATGGCTAAGCTGCGAGGATGATGTTGCTAGGGATGGTGATGGTATATGTTTCGGTGTTGCAGATGATGAAAAGATATTGGGTCGAGTTAACCTTCCGGTCATATCGTCCAAAAAGCTTACAATACTTTTCTTTCTCTATTTCGTGTTTGTTGCACTCAAAAGGATTGTCACTAGCTAGAATGCTTTGGTAGAATATCGAATGTGTTTAGAATAATGGGTCCGCAGAGGGTTTGATAGGATTTATTTTGCCTAGAGAGGGAGAGGGGGAGGCATGTCTTTGCCTGTCACAACCAATGAACTGTACCACGTAATCATATCCACGTGTCAATCGCCAGTAAGATCCACCATTATCAACAAACACCTCTTACTCGATGAATTTCCGAATCTTTATTTCGTCTGCGAGCTGATCGCTTTGAAATTGAGTGGTTTTGCTTTCACCACACAATGGCCGCACCATTTTTCTCAAATTCCATTCCAGCCCTAGCTATGTTTACCAGGTTAGCTTCTTCTCCCTTCAACTTTCCTCGCTATGATTTCAGTTTACGAGGAACTAGGATAAGACCCGCGCCTTGCATGGGATGAAACTATTATTTTTATTATGTTTTGAAAAATGAAACAATAGTTTGGTTTCATTCGGATTAGAGGTGTTCAATCCGGATATCGAGTTTCGGTTCAGCTCGATTTTTTGGTATTTCGTTCATTAAAATATAACTACTATTCTAAATCTATATGTACTTCAGTTTGATTTGGTTTATATACCATCGGTTTTCAGTTTATTCAATTTTATACCAAAAAACATAATTATTTAGTTTGAGATCATATTATATATTATACAAATATATAATATGATCATATTTAGAGTCATATTGTCACATAGTCATTTATTAAAAAAATATGATATATTTAAATAAAAGAATAAAAAACAAAAAGGCTTCTATCATCTAATAAAATGATCAAATCTAGAATTAATATCAAAACAATAAATTTTGAAAGTAAAAAAATAAAAAACAAACAGAAGCATGAAAGAAAAGTTTTTATATTATTCCATATTTAGTGTTCATCAAACACAATTTTTTCTTGTGCCTTATTACGTCGAATGAAATAGTAGGTGATAGTATTAATAGGTAAGGGGTCTTCCATAATTACTATTAATATTTACGATTTGCATATATCAATTTTAACATAAATTCCCAAGTTAACATAGTAAGTTTTACATTTTACATATACACTTGCCTTTACCATTAAGTATGTACTTGGTCACAAAGTAATTTCCATTTTACATATACACTTCCATAAATTAAAAGGAATGAAGTTATTATAGTTAATATATGCAAATCGTTATCAAATCGTATATTTTCCTTTTCTTCCATTACATGCGTGCGATATATATAAACTATGTTACATGCGTTATATGCGTCTCTAATTATTTTTCCCTATCAAATTTCAATTGAACCTAAAGCTGTCACGTCAGTTTAATTGGTATGCTAATTGATTGACAACTAAGCAAGGTTACTTTTTAATTATTACAAACTTGAGGTTACATCTTTTCAAATGTTTCTCAATTAATATATAGGGGATATGCAGGGATCGTGAATTCTAGTTGGAATCTGATAGTACTTGAGATTCATTATAAGTAGGAGTTGCAGAATTTCATGTTAATCTGTTGTCGCTTCCTTTAGTTATTAGTTTCAATTTTTATAGGTGAACGCATGATCCGGCCAGTTTAGTATTATTATTTTATACCATTTGATAATAACGTTATGTCTGTAATAGTGTGATGCAGAGTCAACAAGATACAGTCACACCTTTCCAGATTTTGGGTGGTGATGCCCAAATTGTTCAGGTAAACCACAGCTTCATTTTTTCAATCCATATCCTCGTTTTAACTCTTCTGTCCGTTGTTAGCAGATAATGTTAAAGTCAGAGGAGAGTCATTGCTAAGCCTGGTACTTCCCCTCTGCCAAAAAATAATATTACTTCTGTGTTCAGTTTTTTAATGACCGGTTTTAAAAAGATACGGTACTGTAGGTTTCATGTGCTACATGTCTGGCTCGGTCGAGATGGAAAATACATATACTCCTGAACAAGAAGTTGGAGTCTTACAGTGGATTTTCGGTAAGAGTGTTACCAGCCTTGTTCTTCAGAATAATGGGCCTAATTAACGATGGTTTTGTTGGTATTGCTGCACCTTATTTCGCTAGGATCTCACCGGTTAGTGGACTATAATAGTCTTCATTATCACTTTTAAGGGGCTGTTCGTTTCTCCATTTATAAGCTCCATTCAGCTGATCCATCTATGTGATCCATCTAAATGATCCATCCAGATTTTAGGGATTGTTCGTTTTTCTATCTAGATGAGTCATCAAAATGAACCATTTGAATGAATTTCATGTTTGTTTATTTTTTTTTTTTCCATTCAAATGAGTTTGATAAACAAATTACATATATACCCTTGTTTTGATTTAATCATATGTTTGCTATTAATTATAACTATACTAATTAATATTATTTAGTCTAAAATGTATTTAAACTAAATCAACCTCCAACAATGCGGGAAAATACATTTTTGTTGTTTTGGCGGAAAAACGAGATTTTTCGGATTTGGCAGGAAAACAAGATTTTTCGGTTTTTTAACGAAAACGAGATTTTGTAATTTTGGCGGGAAAATGAGATTTTGTGATTTTGGCGGGAAAACGAGATTTTCGGATTTGGCGGGAAAACGAAATTTCGGTTTTGGCGGGAAAACGAGATTTTTCGGATGTGGCGGGAAAACGAGATTTTCGGTTTTTTAAGGGAAAACGAGATTTTGTGATTTTGGCGAGAAAACGAGATTTTGTGATTTTGGCGGGAAAACGATATTTTCGGATTTGGCGGGAAAACGAAATTTTCGGTTTTTAGGGAAAACGAGATTTTTCGGATTTGGCGGGAAAACGAGATTTTCGGTTTTTTAGGGAAAACGAGATTTTGTGATTTTGGCGGGAAAACGAGATTTTGTGATTTTGGCGGGAAAACGAGATTTTGTGATTTTGGCGGGAAAATGAGATTTTGTGATTTTGGCGGGAAACCGAGATTTTGGGATTTGGCGGGAAAACGAAATTTTCGGTTTTTAGGGAAAACGAGATTTTTCGGATTTGGCGGGAAAACGAGATTTTTCGATTTTTTAGGGAAAACGAGATTTTTCGGATTTGGCGGGAAAACGAGATTTTTTGGATTTGGCGGGAAAACAAAATTATTCGGATTTGGCGGGAAAACAAGATTTTTCGGATTTGGCGGGAAAACGAGATTTTTCCGTTTTTTTAGGGAAAACGAGATTTTTCGGTTTTTTAAGGAAAACAAGATTTTTTGGATTTGGCGGGAAAACGAAATTTTGTGGGTTTTTTCAGTTTTCGTGTGTCACAGAATAATTTTATGTTTAAGTTTGTAATTTGTTAATTACAACAGGGATATAATAGACATTATACCATTTTGAATGAACCATCTCCATTCAAATGATCCAAATTCGTTCAGCTGAATAGACTTTAAAATTAAGCCTATATTTCCAAAAACCATTCAAATGGATCATCTGAATGAGTTGTACTTTTTGTGTCTAAACGAACAAAAAGCTCATCTCCATTCGAATGAATCATTTGAATGAAGAAACGAACAGCCCCTAAATGTACCGCATGATCTAGTTCCTTTTGGTGATCTTTGGGTGTTTTGTTAGATCGATTTAACAATGTTTGGAGGTGAAATCCTATGCCAGGTAGAGTCTCTGTTCCTAAATGTGGACGCTTTACTCTCAGCTTCTTCTTCATTTAGATCAACGTTCTAAATAGTTTGCCTAAGAACCTTGTCGTCGTTTTGTTGTTGTTGTAGCCAGATGAATTCCTTTGTTCCATCAATGATGTGAAGGTTGACCATAGAGCTAGAAACATCGTTGCCGCTGGTGCTCTGAGGTAAGACAAAACAAAACATTGCACTGAATTTTGTAGATATTAAGTCTTTAGAGATTTCCACTTTGAGAAAGACTTTTATATAATTGTGTGAGGAGATTACCCAATTATCTATGGTTTTCTATTCTGCATTTTACTCACAGTTAGGATTGTTGTTGTAGGGATTTCTGAGACAACGCCTATCTGGACAAGGTCTTACTTTTATCCTCGCAGGTGGCTCAGGTGAGGTTTCATCTCAACCAAAATACTTGTTCGTAGTTTAGGCCCCATCCCTCAAAAGAAACTGACATTGCTATCCAAATATGTTAGTAGTACAAAAAGTGCTGGAGGTAGGAGAAGTTCTCACCATTGACGTGTCTTGCATCGCCGCTCTCACTCCTTCAGTCGATGTCCAGATCAATAATGCTTCTCTGAGACGAGCAGTATTCGGGGTATTAATTCACACTCTCCCTTACATACTAAACTTTGTTTTATTAAGAGAAGAAGATTCAGGTTTTTGTTTTGTTCCTTCTCTTATACTATCTCTGTGCATTCAAAAAAAGGGTGATAACGTAGTAATGGCGACTCTAACGGGACCTGGCATCCTCTTCATCCAAAGTTTACTATTTCATCGGCTCTCTCAGCGTATTGCAAGCTAAAAAAAACAACAACATTCCAAATCACCTTATTATCGGTGGTTGTGTAAATGTAAAGTTATATATAAAGTGTAAACTGTTTTGTTGACAGGTCAGTGACATCACCAAACATGAGAGAAAATCCAAGACTGGTGATACAGATAGCATTATTTGCTTCCTTGCATACGTTCTGATTCTATCTTCGTTACTCTTAACCGAAGTTTGAAAGCAGAAAGAGAAGAGAGAGAGTTGTGCTTTTTTCGATCAAACAACAAACTAACCATTCATATAGGTCACCTTTTTTT